GGCGCCACCTGCAGCTCAGCTTCCAGGAGCCGCACTTCTACTTGCGCTGCCTGGGCAAGAACGGCGTGTTCGTGGACGGGGCCTTCCAGCGGCGCGGCGCGCCCGCCCTGCAGCTGCCCTCGCAGTGAGTGCCGGCGCGCGGGGAGGGGTCCGCTGCCACCCCGGGGTCTTCCCCCGGCCCACGCTGATCCCCAGGGTCTCTTCTGCACCTTCCGGACCCTTGGGGGTGTGTGTGGGGGTCATCCTGGACCCCCCCGGCGGTCAGCCCTGCTTGCCTGGATTCCCAGGGTCGTCTCTACACAGTCCGAACCCCCGAGGCGCAACCCCACCCCACTCGGATCCCTGGGGTCGTCCTCCGCACTGCCCAGACCTCTAGACCCTGTTCTGCACCAACCGGATTTCCGGGGGTCAGCCCCACCCCGCCCGGACTCCCGGGGTCATCCCCCATGCTGGCCGAACGCCAGGGTCCCCTTTGGACTGCCCAGACCCTTGGAGGTCATCTCGGCTCCTCCCAGTCGTCTCTGGACCGCCCATACCCCCGGCTTGTCTTCCCAATGCCTTCTGGCCCCTGGGGTCGGCTCTGCACCTCCTGCATTCTTAGGGTTGCCCCCACTTAGCCTGTATCCGGGAAATAGTACTTGCCCTACTGGGACCTCGCCCTCCGATCCTTCCCCCTCCACCCAGCCACATCAGAGGCCCTATGGTCTTCCCCACATGGCTGGGCCCAGCCCGGCATGGGGGCCTAGCCTAGCCACACCAGAGTCTTGTAAGTCACCCTTTCCTAGCCTGGATCTGGCTACTGCCTCTGCCCCAACCCTGCTGTCTTGGGTCCCTGTGGCCCTACCTGACCAGGACCTGGAAGTGGACTCTGCCATTCCTTTCTGGCCTGGACCCCCAGAGGGCTCACCGTGCCCGCCCTGCCTGTGGTCAGCCCAGGGTAGGACCTGTGGCCCCCCACATCGGGGCCCTGAAGGTTGTCTCTGCCCCACCTTATTCTGGGCTTACTTGCACACGCCCAAGAAAGGGTTGCATCAAGCTGTGGGAGAGATGGGGGGGGGGGTGGAGATGAACAATGTCCCCAAAGGCCCTAGCCCTTCTCCCTCCCTCTAGCTCCCAGGAGTGGGGGCCAGGTGAGAATGGACCTGGGGTTGGACATCAGAGTGACCTGGGGGGCACTGGGGACTAGGGCAGGAAGTAACTGAGTGCACCTTGTGTGGAAACAGTGGCCCCTTCCTGCCGTTCCCAGCTGCATGTTGGCTGGAGCGGGCAGCGGCCCCTGGTACTGGGAGAACTGGGGGTTCCGTTACTGGCTCCCCTGGGGCAGGCAAGCTCCCCAGGGCACGGTGTCGCATACATATCTGCGTGCTCCCCTGATTTCCCAGACACAGGTCTGCTCACACCAGCACTCTTGGCTGGCTGGGCTGAGATCTGAGATCAGGAATGAAAGCCTACTTAATTACCCATTTCCTCTCCTCTTGAGACACTTTCTTCTTTCTCTCTTTTCAGTAATTGCTCCTAACTCCTCAGGGGTGTTTATATTTTTCCAGCGTGTTTCATCTTTAGGAGTTGTCCCATGACTGCCTCATGCGTCTCTCTAGAAGCCCCTGAGTGCAGGGTATTTCTGCCTGGGTAATCCCCAGGGCTGCCAACCGCTGTCTGCCACCCTGCTCCCCTTGCGAGGGTCCTGGCCTGTTGGGCTTGGGTCCATCTCGTGTGGAGTGGGTCTTGGTGTGTCATGACTACCTGGGGTTTGGGAAGGCACACTAACTTCCACACCTGGTGTGGAAGGTGTGTGTTTCTCTGAGGCTGCTGGGTCTTGGTGGTCATGACTGTGGGCCACCCACCCTCTCAGTCAGGGCCATCACCTGCCATTCTCACCATGTCTCCTGTGGGGAGGAAGTGGCAGGCATACACCCCACTCCCGCCCTGGCTCCGGCCGGTCGCTGGAAAGCCCCTCCGTAATTCCCAGGTCTTTCAAGTGCTTCCATGAACCGTCCTGCCTCAGGCTTCCCCATCTCCTGTGCAGTCAGGGCTGGGCCTGGCACTGCAAGATGCCTGGGGGTAAAAACAGGCTGTCCGCTCCTGTGAAGACCATCTAGGAAGCCCCATGCAGGGCTCACTCTCAGTCAGAGTGGGCCCGACGACAGTGGGTTCTAGGGTGTCTCCTGGCGAAGACCTGGTTTGTTGCCGAGCCCGTTCTGCGACAACAGAGCCTCGCCGTGGGCTTTTCTTGGTGGCCGAGACCCAGGAGCGGGCTGCTGAGCGATGGGCTTGAACGGCCACCCTTCCGGTTAGCGGTCGTGTACTTGGTCATCTGCTGCGGCTGCCAGTGCCATCCGGTGACTCTGTACCGTAGTGGCCCCGGGGACAAAGCAGACTGTCCCACAGCCTGTGAGGCTTTGATTTCTCGGTGGGTGGGGGGTGTTTAAAGTGCTGGAGTTGGCAGCCGGGCACGTAGCCATTGAGTCACCTAGGGCCTGGTTTGGGGGTGAGGTACCGTCTGGTAGCACAGGCTCCAGCACAGCCCCACCACCCAGTCCTGCTCCCGCCTCACAACGTGCCTGGCCATCGCTCTAGCCACCGCGTCAGTCCCTCTCGTCCACTGACCCTCCGCTGTGCTGGGGCTTTAGGATAAGGTGACCAGATTTTAACATTGGTAAAGAGGGACACCATTGATAAAACTCATATCCTGGCGAAATAGCCACATGGCAGCCGAAAATCGTCGACCCTAGCTTGTTGTGCATTCTTTCCAAAAATCGGGACTTTTTTAAAACGCCGTGGGACGCGGGGGAAAAATTGTTAAAAAGTGGGACTGTCCCACCAAAAGCGGGACATCTGGTCACCTTACTTTCGGGGGACTCTCCTAGTATCTTTTCAAACTCCAGGGGGGTGGGAACGCCTCAGTCCACAGCACCCTCTGAGCCCACGCATGAAACTCCTAGCTTGGAGGGGCAGCTCAGCCGGGGAACATGTCGCTGGGAGGGGGTGCACCCGGCCAGGAGCATGTCGCTGGGAGCACCTGCCCGCCTTCCGACCAGACAAGCCCCATCTGGGGCTGCGGGCACAGGAGCACACTCGGGTGCCCTCCCCCCAGGCACCCCCCTCCAGAGAGGGCTCCTGGCCTGACCGAGTGAGCGTGGGGGCCGACCCGGTGCTTTCAAGCTCATGGCAGCAGTGGCTGCATTTGCTGGCCGGCGGTGGTGAGGGTGGCACAGGGCCGGCTGGGTCTCCTCCATTCATGCCAACTCCCAGGTCGCCGGGCAAACATCAGGATCACACACCTCTCTGCTGTAGACCTCACACCCTCTCAGGGTCTCGAGTTGAGTTGTGGGTGGGGGGCTTCCCGACTCAGCCCCAAGTGTGTCCTTTCTTCTCTGGACTCTGTGTTCTCCAGGGGTGGGGCTGGCTGGCAGGGCGGAGCGGGGAGTTGTGCTTGTGGACTGGATAAGTGGAGGGCCCTTGCAGATAGATCCCCTGGGCGGAAAGCAGGGCCATTGGTCCCGCCGACGTCCTTAGGGGGAGGCGCAGTGTGCCTCCGTTATGGGGTGTGTGTGTGTGAGGATCCCTGGTGGCGCAGAGGTTTAGCACTGGCCGCAATAGGGAAGGTCGGCGGTTCCGACCCAGCGGCTGCTCCCCAGGAGAAAGATGTGCTCGTTTGTTCCCGTGAAGGTTCGCAGCCTCCAGAAGCCGGCGGGCAGTTAGTTCTCCTCTGCCCGCTTACAAGTGGGAATTGGAGATGGAATTCAGTGGATGGCAGCGGGCTTGGTTCTCCGGAGGGTTGGGGGGGTTAATCTCCAGAAGGTCCCTGGGTGTCACAGAAAGGTTTCTCCTCATCCGCAGATGCCAAAAGAGCAAGCAAGCCTGTCTTGTCAGACGTACAGCCAGCACGGCCCTGGATGCGAGGGGGCAGCAGCCGTGCCTGAACAGGGGCCTCACGGCTATGCTCAGACTGCAGGTGACCGGTCTGGGGAGACCCTGCGGGCAGCTCTGCCCTGTGACAGATACAGGGGCTGGCGAAGGCCCGTGGGAAAATTAAATTCAGAGAGAAGGGAATCTTCTCAATGTGCTTTTTGAGGCCCCCTCCTATGTTGGGGACCCAGGGGTCTGAATCAGCTCAGTGGCAGTGGATGTTTTATTGTTTGGTTTGGATTTGTGTTAAATACCGTCTCTGTTTCCAAATGTTCAGCCATGGGTCGGTCTACATTTCTTTTTCTTTAAACAACACTTTCGATAAAAAGAAAAGTATGTCCTTCCCAGTTTCCAGTGGCCCCAGTTACATTAAGCATGTTGATTCGACACCCTTTATGACAGAAAATCTCGAACCTGCACAAAAATAGAGCAGCCCCAGTCCTTATCATGGACAGCCAGGCTCCTCTTATCAGCCCCCCTCTCCTGTTGTCCACACACACACACACACACCTTCCTCCTTCTTCCCCACCCGAACTAAGGCACATCCGAAAGTCCTGTACAAATCTCTGGGAGATAAGGATCCTTTTAAAAAAACATAACCACAGTGCCACTATCACCCCTCAAAGAATGAATCTCAATTCCTCCCTCCCTTCAACAGGCCAGAGCTGCCTGCTCTGTCAGCCCCGACTCTCTCTTCTCTTATAACGGATGCATTTGAATCGGAGGGTAAAGCAGTCCAGGCAGGGTGACTGGCCAGTGTCTCCCCGCACCCTCATTCTCGTGGTATCTCCCTGTGTTCTCCGTGGAAGAACACGCAGCTCATGCCAGCCCCTCTCAGTACTTGGCCACGCAGGTTGTCCATGGTACAAGCTACGTCCCTTGGTACAGTGGAGGGGCAGCGACAGGAGAGGAAGACCCTCCAGGGGGTGGACACACAATGGCTGCAAAGGGTGATTGGGCGGTGTTTCCGGCTGTCTGTCTGTCGTGCACGGGCCGGCGTTAGTTATGTGGATCCCAGAAGGGGTCTCTGTGTTTGCGCCCTGGCTGTCCTGTGGGCTGTCGCTGGCCCCCTTTCTGACCTTCGCGCCTGCCTTTACTGGAGCTCCGACAGACCAGACGGCTTCCTCCAGGATAGCCGGGAGGTGGGGTCGGGAGACACTATTCCTGGAGCAGGTCTGTTCCTTGGCTACAAGGTAGCCTTGTGGCTCAGTTTCC